GGGGTAGGCCGCGGGGAGACCACCGCTCCTGCGGGGAGCGACAGTAGCTGGGGAGAAAAAAAAAATAATAATAACTTTTCGAGGTTGTGAATTCGGAAGCGTACTCTTACCAATAAAACCTTTCACACACTAGTATGAAGAAAGAGGCTTAACATAAACAGAGAGCGTCTGGGGCTGGGGCTAGGCAGCACCTGCAGCACCGAGGGGTCTGCCAGGGCTCCCGCAGAGACCTTCTAGCAGGGCGGTGTGGACCTCAGCTCTTGGGGAATGTCTCGGACTTCCACGTTTCAGGCTGAACAACGTTACGTAGGTACGTCGCAGCCATTTGTTATCAGATGGGTTACTTTCATCAGAGGCGGAATTTCAGAAAATAGAAACGTGATGGGCTCACCTGGATTTTCCTTCTGTTTTCTATAGGTGTGGTGGCTGAGAAATAGTTTAGATGCTTTGTAAATAAAATTTTGCAGATATTTAGGTATGGCTATAAGGTCATCTGCGTGCATGTGTTTTAAAGTGGTAGTTCAGCTGTTGCAGTTTCTAACAGTAGCTGTCATGAATTGTGAACAGTACAACACAAACTCACTGTTGACAAATAAAAAAGCTCACGTCCCTATTATGATGTTACCTTTATAAGACACGTAAAATAAACCCCCAAGTACTTTGAAAGTATTCTTAGTATTTTCACATCATGTTCGTATAACAACAAAGAAGAGCTGCTAAATATTCTAAGGGGCTTATTCTGCTCTTGTCAGGCCCCGCAGCTGTACCCAGGCGTGTCCCTTCTGCCACCAGCAGTCTCACTGAAATTAATGGAACTTTCCTTGGTGGTGAAGTTAAATGTATGTGTAATTGTTGGTAAGGATGGGGCCTTAATAAGTAGCCAAATATATTCAGAAATTCAGATGTAGTACTTTGGTTTGGTTCACTGGTGTCGTATCTGATCCAGAGAACCCGGTATGTCAGTACTGAACTGCGCGCGTTTAAAGCAACAACTGTCTCCTCCTGTTCTTGGCCTAAGTGAAGTGACTATTTTGGCTCCCAATACTTAAAAGATGTGATTTAGAGTTACGGCTGAATTTTTGTTATCAATTATTCTGAATGGAAATAAGACTATAGCATGTACTGCTATTCCCGAACAATTCTTAGTAGTGAAGAGGACCCAGTCTCTGTCTTAACCCAAGTTACTCATTCTTGCCACCAGTCTTTAATAAGCATGATGCAGTATGCCTGAAGAGACAGGAGTGTGTATGTTATAAAATAGTAGTTCAGGGATGAAATGGCACTCGCATAAAAAGTTGTAGATAAAAACTGCTCTCTAAATGCTTAAAAAATATGGGTGAGCAAGGAGAGAAAAAGGAGTAAGGCTCTGGGAGTAAGGTAGCAAAACATGCAAGCAGGGTTTACGGAGAGAAGAGCAGGACTGTTAGGAATTCATGAGGGAGAAGGAAAGGAAGGGAGAAAGCAGAGGGGAGTGTGTCTGTCAGAAAATGAACTTTGAAGTGTAACTGCTAAAATACAGTTTTGAACATGAGGCTCAAAATGGAGGCTTGTGCTGTCAGCGTGTGCTAGCAGAGACCTGGCATCCTATAAATACAAACTGTACCTCTGTGCCCATTCTGCCACAGGCAGACATTCTCTCTTGTTGAGATGTAGGCTGACGAGAGGAATAAATGAGTAGCCAGGAGATGCGAAGGGGAATCTCTGTAAATTTTGCCAGGTTATGCTACTACTCTTGCGAAAATACGTTTGCTTTATATAGAAAGCTACTGATCTGGTAGTGTGGAGCAGCTCAATTAAATGCTGCTGTTCGAGTCTTTTTAGTGCTCGTGGAAAAACGGGTACTGTAGGCAGATGGGTTGCCCTGTGCTCTGGCATCCGTGCGGCATGGCAGAAATAGCATATATCTACTTATGGAAACTGGAGTAAAGTGGAGTGGTTTCTGTGTACTGCCGGTATAGAAGGGAATCAGGGGAGAGCCGCGGGGGGGCTGTTTGGAGCATGCAGCCACAAAAGGTGGTCTTTGCGTCCCGCTGCGTGTGTGATTGATTTGGAACATGTAGAGAGGGTCGGAGGTTGCTTATCAGACACAACTCGGAGAAGGAGGTTTCTCTGGCTTTGTGGGTGGAGGCTCAAAGGGGCTGCCTTCCTTGTTCAGATGTGAGTATCCATGTATTTTATTTCTTGTGATTTAAGTTACAGTCTTTTGACTGGGTGATGGTAACCGCAACCAAACTTAAAATATCTTAAGAATCGTAACAAAAATGCTTGAGTTAAGTGTGGACTTCAGTCTTTCTCTCCATCAGATAGTAGTGACAAAGCAAGCAGGTTTTGACGTTCCCTATCTTGTTCTCTGTAAAATGTTGAAGTTGTCCTTTTTCCTTCCAAACCCTGCAATCTGCTTTTAACGTTGACACTGGAAAAATGGTCGGTGAAATGATCCAAGATTCAGAGCTGACACATGACTTGAGCTGGGCATTTATTTTTAGCTACAACTGAAGTTTCCAGTGGCAATTATTTCTTTTTCTTTCACTTTTCACTCTTGCACTGAGAAAACCAACTTTCTCAATTTTAACCTAAAAAAAAAAAAAAATCTAGTGTGTCCCTTCATCACTCATGCTTCCTTCTGAAATTGATTTACTTTCATTTTCTAGGTGCTGGTGAATCCGGTAAAAGCACAATAGTCAAACAGATGAGGATCTTGCATGTGAATGGATTTAATGCTGAGTAAGTGCATTTGTTTTTTCATTTTACAGCCTACCTTACGTCTGTGCGCTGCACAGTAGTCATTGCTGTTGTTTTATATCTGGGTATATTTTCTTCTTGGTACTGTTTCACAGCCTCTAGAATCTGGATGTGTATTTTTAGATGAGATTAATAGACATTAACTTGAAGAAGTCATGCACCAATAATAAGTAAGAGCTAACGGTATAAAATGATGTGTATCAAGGTTCGGTGTAGCTGATTTGATTAAGGCTTAAGTTCTGTGGTTGGGTTTGTTGGGGTTTTTTTAACTGCAGTTTCTTTCACAACATGGCTGACACTGATTTACCTCTGCTATAGCACATCGATTCATACTGCTGTAAACATGTTCCTGTTAGTGTACAAAATGAATGCAGTTTTCTTTATTTAGAGCAAGTAAGGCTTTTGTTTCTGTCTCCTCACAAAATGAGACTGTACTATTAATTTTGGGGGTAATAGGTCAGGTTTTCTTCTCTCTTCTGTTGTGTTTGCTTGTCCAGATGTTTGTGTTAAATCATGTTTCTAAAAGCCTTTCTTGTTTATGCTTAAAATCTGTTCAATTATTTGATAGTTGTGAGGAGGGAAGTGGGATTAGGATAAGGAAAATGGAAATCTATTATTTTGTCTGAGGAAGATTTGTGTTTGCTAACTTTTCACCTAACCTTACTAGGGAGGGGGAGGAAGAGATTCTTCTGTGTGGTAGTTTATACTTGCAAGTCTCTTCGTGTGTATGTGTGTACCAAAACCTGCTAAGTTAATTGTAATTGAATTAAGGTGTTGGAATTTCAGAGTTTATACTCCGTGTTTCATTTCTTTAGATGATATCACTGGTTTTGTCTGTCTCGTTTTCAAACATAATATTTTTGTACTGGCAACCTCTAGCTTATAGTAGTATCATCTGTTTTGTGAATCCTGCCTTTTTGGGGAGATTAAGCTTTCACTCGTCTTTCAGTAGTTAATTCTTTAGTAAGAATGTCTGAGCTAAAAGTTTAGCCAAGGAGACTGGACAATACTTCTTCCTAATCCCCAAATGCTAGTTCAGGATAAGGTACACAGTCCTTTGGAAGAAAGTTCAGACTGATTCATAATAAATTACATTCTGTGCTACATGTTTTTAACTCCTCTTTATAGGGAATATTTTCTTTATCCAAGACAACTCTTCCATAAGTGCCCAGTCCTGCATTCTGTTACTGCTAAGTCGTGTCCATTATTTTGGCTGCTTTTGTTACTAAAGACCTCTTAAGACTTGCAGTGACTTAAAAAATTTGCATAAATTGACTTTGATGTAGCAGCTGTCAACATAGGTGCTAAGTTAGAAGTTCATCAATGAAAGTGGAAGTCGGAGCTCCCCGGCATCTTTGAAAGTATCAATCCATTTAACCAACAGCTCTTCTAAGTTTTCTCAGCCTACAGATGCTCTTAAAGCGGTGAAGCTGCTGTGTCGTGAATTACATGGGTAGATAACATTCTCAACTTTGCAAGGTGCACACCCAAATTTGTGTGAAGCTGGGAGCCCAGAGACCCATTACACAAAGCCTGCAGAGCTGGGGAGGCACCGGGACACACTCTGGGCTTTGCAACAGCAGTGCGTTCCTCGAGTATCTCACTACTGTGTTGTAAGTTGGGGCTGAACTGAGCGTGCAGCTGGATTCCAGGGCAACGTGGCAAATTTGGCCACAGGAGGCCCTGCTTCTCATAGCGAGGGATTTGGATTTCCTAGCAGCCCTGTGCCAGCACAGCCCTGCCGCCAGTCGCCGCATACCCCAGGGTGGGAGCTGTGCTCCAGTTGCTGGGGAGCCGCATGCAGCTCAGCAGCTGTAGGTTGTCCACTCCATGGCATGTTGTCTTGCAGTCCGTCTTCTGTGCTTGTCCTTTTGTGGGTGGTATGTATGGGGACATTCAGGTGCATAAAAATCAAATTTAAAAGTGGTATATATAGAATGTACAAGAAATTAGTTATAATGCGTCTAGTTTTAGGGTTTTGTTGCCAAAATTAGTCAGTAGATCATGACATACACTTTACGTGGGGGAGAAGGCTGTTTTTCAGTGTTTTTAAGTTCTTGCAAGCCACATATTAGTCCTTAAGTAACTTGTATTTTCTTCAAAGTAACTAACTGCTCCCTACATTGTCCTAGTTTCCTGCTATCCTTTTGCCCCATTGATTCCCTTTCTGCCCTACTTACCTTGTGGAAAAAATATGTGGGATTCAGCCAATGAGAGACATAGCATGGAGTTTTTTTGGAAGAGTAGGAAAAGTAACGCATTACTTCTCTTGATGTTCTTATCAGTCATTCTAGAACATAAACTTGTTTGCATACACCACCACAGTTGATCTGATGAGTAACAGCAGAGAGGTTGTAAAAACTGTAGTATGCTGGAGATGAAGAGACATTTTTTAATGTTAGTGTCCACGTACATAACTAGTTTTGAATTATCTCTGTTAATGAGGCTTATTCATGTGGCTTGAAATAAATCCAGTTTAAAGTCCTGCCTAAAACTTGTTTGCCTTTGATTTGGTTGCCCTGTGATAAGTGGTGTTTGAAGTAGAGGGGGGGAAAACCTGCTATCAAAGATGTCTAACGTGCTACAAATCAAAAGTTTTTCTTCAGTGTTACTCAAATACTTTTCTTCGTTTCTGGTGACTAAACAGGATATCCATTGCTGAATGCACCAGCTTCCTTCAGTGAGTGTGGGGATTTCTTACTTATTTTGGGTTTAGGATTCTGCTGCTTAACAGATGAAGGGACAGTTGTCATGTGCATTTAGGTGAATTGGCCTCATGTAGAGTTGTAGCATTTAACGAGGTGAAATCTATGTAGTTCTACAGAACTAGAAGAATTTCCTTTGGGACTCCAATCCTTGACTGCTTTAGCTAATTAATTATTTGAGGAACTGTATGGAATCAAGTGTTCCAGGTAATTAATATGCTTGATAGTTAATAGTGCTAAGGTGGATTTGAAGGTGGTTAAAGTTCTATCCAAGTTAACTACAGTGAAGACTGACTGATTTTTTTTTTCAGTTTCATTTTATAGTCTGCAGTAGAGTTAGAGACAGAAATGTTTCTATTTTTTTTGTTCCTGTTGTGAAGGTGGCGTGTGGGAGGTAACAGCGCCGTGGCATCGGTAAGCAGAGTAGAGTATTAGACCATGCCTTGCTTCTCCATAGCACAGGTTTTCCTGGGTGGAGTTTTTGGAAGGGCTTCGCCCACCTCCAGCTCTGCAGGGTGGCTTCGGTTGGCCTTGCTGTCAACTGATGCCTTCTACAGCAACTCCATAAGTAATAGGAGTGTGGCTTCCCCACAGTATTCTTCCAGCATGCCTCGTCTTTAACATGGAGGCACTGCATTTGAAGCATAGTGAAGGCTCCATATCAACCAAATCTTCTAGTCTTTGCATTACTGCCAAAACAGAGCCCCTTGTGATGTAGAAAGGCTTTAAATTTGGCTTGTAATAGCAGGAAGGCTGTGACTTCCCTTCCTTTCTTTCCCTCCCTCCTCAACACTTCAACTGTCTTTTCATGAGGGTATTCCAGAGGAGTAGGTCTCTGCTGTTGTGTGCTGCATTTTGTGAGCATCCACTGATAAAGTGGAGCTAAAACCTTCTCTTTTTACTGTGCAAAAGTTCAGATGCCAATCTATATGAACTAGAAAGGATTAAAAATGGGAAAGGGAGGAGAAGAGCAGTAAGGAATGTAGCTAGAGGAATTAACGTAAATGTATAGTTCAGGTTGAAGAGGGAAAAAACTCTTTTCTGTGTTATCTTGGGGCTGGGGTTCTTTGCTTATAAGATGATGGCCTTTCACTGACTTTTTTAAGTCATCTTTCCCCTCCATGATCACTGTGGGTTTGGCTGACAGACTCTAAGGAGAGGGTCATTGTCATGCACGATTTTAGAAAGTTGGAAATTGGCAAGGGCGATAGGCAGTTTTGAAGTGTCATGGGAAAAACCGGGACAAGCAGAAATATTTAGATAGAAATAAATTGTTGAAATGTGACTTACGAAATCCACTACAAAGATTGACAAATAAGGGGAATGTGCCCTAGTGATTAGTAAGTTTGGATAGCATTTATGATTCGGGAAGTCTTGAGATTATAGGGAGTCTCAGCTAATGCTTCTCAGCCTCAGTTTCCCAAATGATACTGTATAATGCTGACGCTTTTGTAAGCTGGTGTGTTGAAGTGTTGCATAGAGTTTGTGTATTTATCAACTCTGATAATGATGATGGCAGAAGCAGAACCGAATAGCTTTATTTTCAAGACTTAGATGACAAACTTGTTTGTATTTCTCATGTACTTTTAAAAATTCTTGTCTGTTAGTGGGGAAGTTGAGAAAGCCAAGTCAACCTGGTAAGGGTTTGGGATGTTTTCTCTTTTCTCACCTAGATTTAGTAGTTTGTGAGGAAGGAAAAGTAGTCATTGATGCTTCCTAATCTTTTCTTTATAAATCTCGTCCATGAAAAGTTGTACTGCAATACCACCATTATTTCATGTAAACCAGTAAATGATGTTATCTCATCACGTTGGTCAGCGTCAATCTCTTTTGTCACTGAAATGACTCGGTAACTTTACTCTTCTGCTATCTGATACCATGTTTTGTTTTCTAACTGTGGTCTTTTTATGTGTGTGATTTTATGGAAGGGAAGTTAATGCTGTGAGTGAGGAAAAAGTATAATATTTTTAACTAAGTCTTTTAAAATAATGAATTCCTTCTTAATGGCTATTACTAGTTTGTATACACAAATGATATTGCTCTGTTTTTACAGTTCCTTTACATTTGTGTACCTATACCTTGGCTTTAGAATGGTCACATCAGTTTCTTGCCAAGAAACAAACTGACTTTATTGTATTTTTCTCTATTGGCAAAAAGTAATATTTTTTTTTTCCTGGTCTTTGAGTAACATTGAAAATTAGAGGGGGCACGGGGGCCTTGGTTGGTGTGATCCTCCCCGCCTCTTCCCCCTTCTTTCTTTCTTCCTTTGCAT